ATATTGGTGATTTTAGAAAATTGATTTTGAAATGAAATGTTAGTATATTGGTGTTTATTGCGGTTTATTGGTAGATTTGACTTACCAAAGAGATAAATGAGAGATTAGAAGTATTATATTGGTTAAAGAACATATTAGAAAAAGTGGTTTGATTATTAAAAATTGAATGTTCTTGAATGATTTTAGATGTTCTAAGACGCTAAATGAGGGAATGTTAGTATGGATAGTTAAGGAGGAGTTTAATAGTATTTTTAGGGGTAAATAAAAGGAAAATTGGCTAAAGTTGGGTAAATTTTGGGTTGAAAACTGAAAATCTGGGTAGGGGTATCGGTACCTAATTAAGTGGTGTCGATACCATAAGAAAAAAATTAGACTAAATAATCTCAGAAGTATCGATATTGATTCAATCAGTATCGGTACCTAATGAAGTGGTATTGATACCATGGTGAGGGTATTGATACCGGGTAACATCGAACCTAATTTTGGTATCGATACCATATAGGGGTATCAGTACCATAGTATAGTGGTATTGATACCTATGGTAAAGGTATCAATACGGGGCCACATTGAATCTAATTTTTGGTATTGATACTGGTAGGGTATCAATACCATAGTAGAGAAGTATCGATACCATAGTAGGGGTATCGATACTGAAGGGCCATAAATTGTAATTTGTGTTGATATTGTTGTAGAAAAGTTAATAATCAGTATTTTGATTAATGTTTAAGATATAATTTTAAGAAATACACTAACAATTAATATTACTCATGTATTTATTGAATGTGGGATAGATCGAAATTAAGCTCTTGAGTCGAGTAAGACGAAAGGCAAGGGCCAAGTTCCACAGTAATCATCTTTACTTTTGGACTGTGATCAAGGAAAGCCAGGTGAGTACAATTATTGTATGTAATTTAGATGAATATGATTAGAAATTATTCATAATGTAATAATATATGTTAATGTATATTTTACCGAAATTATTATGTTTTATAGAATATATGGAATTGATGTTGTGAATGAGGTTTTAGAGTATGAACTGCTCTAAAATGAACATAAAAGAATAATGCATATGGGTGCATTATTGGCATGAAAGGATGTCATAGCTGAAATGTATGTGGGTACATTGTCAGCATAAAAGAATAATGCATATGGGTGCATTATTGGCATGAAAGGATGCCAGAGTTGAAATGCATATGGGTGCATTATCAACAGAAAAGTATAGGATAGTTGAAATGTATATAGGTACATTATCAACATAAAAGTATGCAATAGTTGAAATGCATATGGGTGCATTGTCAACAGAAAAGTATGCTAGAGTTGAAATGTATATGGGTACATTATCAACTGAAAATTATACTATAGTTGAAATGTATATGGGTATATTATCAATAGAAAAGTATACTATAGTTGAAATGCATATGGGTGCATTATCAACAGAAAAGTATACTATAATTGAAATGCATATGGGTGCATTATCAACAGAAAAATATGTTATAGTTTAAAGTACATAACGGTGTATTATAAACATGAATGGAGGTTACAAATAAAAAGAAAAAAATCATACTAAGTGTATGAATTTCCATATGGGAAATATATGGGTATAAACATAAGAACTACATAATAAGGAAATGGAATTTTTTTAGTAATGGGTATGTAAACCACACAGATTTTAGAAATGGTTGATAAATGATGATATTAGCATTAGGGATGTAAATTATGGACTATTTATTGAATTGAGAAATCCCGTGAAAGATGAAATTGTCAGAAGTTCATAATAAAAGGGTGAATTGTTGTAATTATATTGGATGAGTAATTCATGAAAAATATAGAAAAATTTAGGTATTATTGCACTGACAGTATGAGAATAAAACATAGAATGCACTACTAGAAAAAACCCATTTAATGATGCGTATTGCGCATCATCTATGGGTGTGGATGACACACATTTGCTTGTCATTGAAGCCGCCGACATGAATCTCAGATGACACGCAATTGTGTGTCATAAATCTATGACGCGTATTTATGACACACATTTATGATGCGCATTTATGACGTTCATTGAGCGTCATTGAAGCCCCCATCATAAATTAAGATGACACACATTTGTGTGTCATAAATTTATGACACGCATGTATGACTTACATTGCATGTCATTGAAGCACACGTCACTAAAAAATATGACACACATTCGTGTGTCGTAATTGTATTTCGTTAATTATTGTTATATATATATATATATTGTAGATTGACAAATGATCAAACTAAATCACATTTAATGCCTCATAATACTAAATATATATATCATATTATATATAAACAATCCATTTGCATACAATATATTCACATTAAGTTACAAACATAATATCCATCACCTATGGCTATTCGAAAGCAAAAAACCAAGAATGTTCTCAGATTATCACAAGAAAATACTAACAAATTATAAGATCTTAGCACATTAATTTTACTAAAATGGTGCTAAACGACATGTGCATAGATCAACCTGAGCAAGGTCACCAACAATATAGTCTTGGAACAGCATAGATCAACCTCTGGGTATGTAGCAATTACAGGGAATACAACATTTCCAGCACCACAGCCAACCTGATTACCAAGGTCACATTAGTTCTATAATATATAGAAACTTACATGAGAATTTAAGAACCTTAGACAAGAAGAGGAACTACTTAACACACACTATAAGGAACAATAAAGTCAAGTCCTACCATATATAGTGACCAACATTCAACAAGGTTTGCCACACCATTCACTTCAACAATAAGGGCATCTCGTATAAGATTACCAGACCATTTAGAGGAATAAAATAAGAATTCATAGGCAGTCTATTTATTTACCATAAAATAGATATTGAACGGATAATATATAAGTGAAAATGTTAAGTGATTTACCTCCAAAATAACTTTTCTTTCGCTTCTCTGATTTAATAAAAAAAATTAGTTAAAAAAGGAAACAAATAACCTTGAAGAATTAAAAAATCAAAAACAAAGAGAAGAAAATAGTTAGCTTCGACTCACATAGAAGTATTGATCCCATTAACAGATCTGGAACTACCCACTCCTCCATTTCCTAGGCTTGCAGATGCCATAATTCAGCCAGGTAAACTTTATAGAAACTAGTATTGGCTATCCACTAAATACTACGTAGTGCAACTGCCCATCCCATCCAAGCATCTATCTTCCTAATGGATTCCCAAAGTTAAGAAGGAAGAAACCATTAAAGAAGAGAATGTAGAATGTTTATTATCATAGGTTTCGACAAAAAATAACATATATGACTTACATTCAAGGTGAAGGATCATAACAAAGAAAAAAAGTGCATTAAGAATATAGTTTCTTACATAACACCATAAACAAATAAATTCCTCAAATAAAAATAACTACAAGCTTCTAGGAGACATAAATTTAAGTTTCTAAGCATTCAAGTAAACTATGATACTAAAAACATATGGGAATCAAATGTTAACAATTACTTCTTCATATAGCATACAGAATATATATATTTTTGCAGAATACGAGCTTCAGAAAAAAGCAATGTAACAAGGAAACAATAGATTTTCAGTTAAGAAACAACCTGTCAAAAAGTCCACAGCTTAACTTCAAGTTCAAACTAGTGAGATCAGCTACATAAAATTTGCTCCCCGAACAGTTAAAATCCAATGTCAGATTCTCTAAAACATACCCAAATTCGTTGTTTTTTTAAATCTTATGCCAATTACCATACCTTTATAAATGAACTTTCTTTCTATTAAATCAAGGTTATCAGTGTGATCTATCAATAAAATAAATAAAGAGGAACAAGTGATATCAAAATTATTTCATAAACTTCGAAGCTGGGCCAGACTGAATGATGGTAATAAATAGTTCAGAAGGGGAAGAGGAAATAGGAAAGAAATGCAAAGCTTAACGAAGTCTTTTTCTAAATTTGAATACTCAATAGAGAAACATCAACTAAACAGTAAGCACTCCGATCAAGCTTCAATAACATAACAACATTCCAACAAAACTAAGAGTGAAGACATTCACTTGAGTGGAATAAACCTGGATGAATGGGTGGCACCAATACCAGGCCTTCCGTGCTTTACTGGCTTGTATGAGATTGAGAATTCAGTCAAATAGTGGCTAATCATTTCTGGCTTGATTTCCACTTGATTGAAGGTCTTTCTATTCTAAACAACAATGATACTACCAATCATTTCAGGAACTATAATCATGTTGCGGAGGTGCGTCCTAACCGGCTGGGGTTTCTCACCAGATGGAGCCTCCCGTTTCTGTTTCAAGACAGCAAAATAGAATTCTCGATATAAGTTACTACCAAAAATTACTTGGATCATCATAAATAAAAATAGTTCAAGGGAAACTTTTATTACAAACAAGAAATCAGTTAAATATCCCAATGAATCATCAAAGCTACCTACTTCACTGGCAAAATTTGTAACAGAGATATGCTAAAATGACACTACACTAGCTAAAATAAGGGCAAAGGAGAAAGAAAGAAAATCATTTCATGATAGTTTTATGTATCGTGATATCACAAAAAATGATAGCTAGCTATTATAGACATGAGCCCCTGGCATGATAAGCTTCCCAACAAGGTTGCTAGTGAAACAGGGAAATACATTATGTACACAGATCAAGCGAACCAAGCAATAGGGAACAACAACTGAACTGTAGAACTATATGGTTATCCGTTACCAAAGGGAGTCACAGAAAATCAGATCACCGGATGTGCAATATAAACAAAGTGGATATCAAAAACTACTACGAATAATAGACTACTAGGTATTGAATCTAGAAAGCATTTTGAAACTGTAGATGTTCATCAATACAATTTATCTATGTCTAGTCTAACATATGAAAGCAAATACACAACCAACAACAACACTATGAAGAACATTAGGAAAGACTACTCCAAAATCTTAGGCATTTTGCGTTTTCAATCTCAACACTAGAACATATGCAGATCCACACATTAAGAACACACACACAAACTCTAAAGTATCAGTTAATTCCTCATAGTTAAAAAAGAAGGAAAATAGAAGAATACTCATAGCCTTGCGTAATTTCTTGATCAGAGCCATTGGCTTCCTCTTCAAACCCCTCTGAAACCTAAACTAGCATAAATGAAATATCTAAATCTCAAAATCAACAGCCATTGAAGAAGAAAAAAATCAAATAGAGAAAATAACGAGTGGTAACCTTCGACGAGCACGAGCAGAAAAGAGCTTGACGAGTTCATCAGGGGACATATCCAAGAGAGCATCGAGATCGACACCTCTGAAACTGAACTTCTTGAACGTTCTCTTCTTCGGTACCCCTGGTGCAGCAACATCAGCATCCACGTCCGCCTAAACAAGATTGAGAACAAAACATGGAAAAAAATACCATTGTTATGACAATGTTTAGATCCCGAGAAACTTGAAAAATAGGGAAGCAAGCGGCGTGAACTTTGTTATCGAGGGGTAAGAAGCGGGAAAGGGTGAAAACAATGGGGGGAAATTAAAATATGACTTTTACAGATGACACACAATTAAAAGTGTACTCCGTGTTTTTGTAAATTTTTTGGATTATGACTATTAAATATGACACACATTATTGTAAGTCATAAATCGTCCAGATTTTAAAAAAATATGACATTTTTTTATGACACACCTATTTTGCAAGTCATAAATTAGCGTGTGTCATTAAAGGTATATTTTCTTGTAGTGATGTATAATGATGGAAATGGTTAATTGATATGATGAATGATTAATATAGTAGAGACTGCTCAAAAATAAAAGAATAATGGTCTAGTTGTGTATTTGGTAAACAATTGTCAATTATGCTAGTTAGACGAACGTTAAACACTGTTGAGTAAAAGAATAAAGGAATTTTAATGTATTGTGATATGAAGGGGGGATATATATATATTGTACAACAAGGCATAATTGTATGAATGGGTGTTATAAATAAAAAGTATACTAGTGTATAAAAGACATGTAAAGATGGCATAATTGAAATGAATATAAGTGCATTAGAATCATGAATGGATACTATCAGTGAAAACCAAGAATAATGACTAAAGAGATAAATGGAAAAGAAAATATAAAGGAAGATAGGTATGCTAGGCATACGAAAAAGAATTAAGAAAATTGTGAACGAAATATGGTTTAAATAAGGAGGAGTATGGGATACTTAAAGAATATATGATTTAATACGAAATAAATAAATGTGACATATTTATGTATAATCAAAGGTTACGTTATATTATTATGTCTCTATGTAATTACTTAACGTGTGTTTATTTTACGCGTAGGTAAAGGCAGGGATTAATGTGTAAGGAGTGTAGTAGTGGTTGCAGCTTTCATCAATTAAAGGTTGACTCATCAGTAATATTTTGACAATCTTATTCAATTTAAGAACTTATTTGGCATGTAATTAAATTATGGTAAACATTTTTAATGTAATTAAATGATAATTTATGTATGTTGCTTTTAAAAATATTCTATTTTGTGGTTAATCGAATTGAAACAAATTTTTACGAGTTGTCAAATGACAAACATTATTATTAAAGTGATGTGACATCCATATCTCTTGTACGGAAGGATATGCGATAGATGGGTGTTACAACTACTAGGTTTCGCCACTGTGGGAGTACCAGAGTACATTGATGTTGACTCGACGGGCATATAGAGGTTGTGGTTGGTATTTGGGTCAAGTTGTGATATTTTAATTATATAATTATGTATTAAGTTTTTAAATAAGGAGCTCCACTTTTCTAAAATGCATGTTTTTCATATTTGATTTATTATCTTAAAATATTTGAGTAAATGGTTTAAAAAATTGTTAGTCACTCCGGTGATTCCGTGTGACACTTGAATCTTCGGGATTTGGGTGTTACAATTGGTTCCTAAAGGTCTTTGGTTCAAATCCCATAGAAAGAATTTCTTTTCCATAAACAAAACGGCGTCGTTTTGGTAAGGCAACCACGTAACAACATCATGGCGCGCAGCTGCCATGTCATCGTCCCGTTAAGTCATTAACGAGGAGTGACATAATTGCAGTTAAAAGTAAATGTTAGTGCTAAAATTGAAAAAATTAAAAGTTTGGTATAAATAAGTTAGTGCTTAAAGTTTCATAGTATCTAGTGTAGTTTACCCTATTTAAGTTTAAAAAAACTTAAAATTATATCTTTAAAAAAAGGCCCAAAATTCTTTAATTTTGAAAACCTCCTTCAAACGTTTATTGGCGCTCTTGCCGACGTTACCATTGATTGAACCTCTAATCGATCGCACTTCCATTGGGGACTAGTTACCCGACGAACAACGACCATAACAGTAGTCGATGAACCCTAAATCACGATGAATAAAGCCCATGACGAACCGACGAACCATTGACAGCGACCCACGCCACCTTGGCGACCATCTCAACAGCAAGGATGATGTCATTCGATTAGGGTTTTTATATAAATATAATAAAAATTTTAAGTTTTTTAAATAAATATTTTAAAATTACCACAATGTGACATGTGTCACTTAATGGAATTTTTTAACGGGGTTACGGTCTGAGCGCCTAAAGTGATAACGTTTGTAACGTTAGGCACCTGGATTGACCCAAAAAAAGTGTAGGCACCACTTTAAAAAAATGTATAGTTTGAACATTTATTTTTATATTAAGTCTAATTTCTATTGAAAATCTATTTCCGTCACTTTAGAATTTTGCAAGTATATCCCTCCTAAAGTTGGCAACCCTAACATAGAATTGTGTCCTCTTTGAAGATAATTGAATAAAAAATTGTATAATTTACATATATGTATATATTTGTCTAGTTTTAAAACAAAATAGAGAGATGGAGAGAATGGAGCATTGATGGTTGCTAGTTGATATTGTTGATTCAGATGCAGGTACTTTCTGCAGTCTTGTCCAGTGTCATGGAGGCAAAGCTTTTATAAGATATATTTATAGAGATGAACCGATGAATATACTTGTGTATCTATACATAAAAGTAGACACTGATGATTTGATGTGAGAGACGTACAAGTGCAGCTTCATGCTGTGCCTGTGTGGGTGGACTCACACTCACAAAATACCCCCATCCCACATACTATGTTGCGTTTACACTGTAAATTGCACAACTCGGAATTTCAAATGCCTTAAAAGAACCGGATCAGTTAGCGAACCAGTCATGTTAACGATTTACTGGTTTAATCGGTTGAATTGGTCTGGTCAGTCGGAAGAACCAGACGACATCATAATTATTTAAAAAATTAAATAAAAATACCAAAAATATTTAATAAAAATTAATTTTTTATATCACAAGTCATATTCAAAGCAAGTCATAACATATATAGGTTAAAAACCATAAAATCAAGTGAAACAAAATGATTCAAATTAACTACAACATAATATTTAAGGTAAAACATATTAAATAATAAATATAATTATATAACTATAATTAAAAAAAAATTTGAGGTTAAAAAAATCATAACAAAATGATATTGTTTGGTTTAATTTTTTTTAAAAACAATCTCACATGGCTAAGAAACATAGAAGAGAATCCCAAAAGTCTAAAGAGTAAAAATATGAGAACAAAACAATCACACATTGCTAAGAAACATAGAAGCGCATCACAACTAACTTTTATAAATAATAGAAGTAATTTGGCATTCAAAATCATGGAGCCTTTTGGTGAGCATTGAGTGAACTATTCTTTCACTTCAATCAAGCTCGAATTTTAGGCTTCAATCGAGCTTCTAATTTTTTTTTGAGTTCAAGCATTTATTAGTTCAAGTTTCAATATTATATTTCGAGTTTGAGTTGAACTTGATAATTTTTAGCTTGTGAGTTTGAGTTGAGTTGAGCTTACTTTTAAAGTTTTCAAGTTCGAGTCGAGCTCAGTAATACTCGAGTTCGACTTGACTCGTTTAACAAACGACGTTGTTTGGTTTAATTTTAAAAAAAAAAATCCTGGTTCTTTCCGGTTTTCAGCCGGTCCGGTTCGAACGGTTCAACAGTTTTGGCCGGTTCACTAATAACGGTTCAACCGATTTAGATTAAATCGGATTAAGCAACGGTTCCTAATTAAACCGGTCGATCCGATTCGGTTTTCAAAACGGAGCTCTTCAAAACCCACCCCCCAATTGATGCTAAAAGCAGCTTTTCAATTTTTATATGCATAATCATGCCATTTTAATATCACCATATTTGCAATTTTAGTGAGAGTTGAGATGAGGCGATTGACGGATACTTTAGAGATACATGCATGTTGTACTATATAATCCTTTGGGTTAATGACATGGGAATAAATACTTTCTTTAATAAAGGTGTAGAATGTAGATAGTAATAATAAGGATTAATATAAAAATAATTGTTTAAATTATATTATTTTTCTTAGTGTGTTTAAATTATAGTGGTGTTTAAATTTTTTTGGGTTAATTTAAGTGCCTAACAAACGTTGTCATTTTAGGTGTCCAGACCGTAACGGCCATTAAAATCTACTGTTAAAGGACAAAAAAACTGAAATTTTAAAAATATATATATATTAATTAAAAAAAAACTAAATTATAATTTTAAAAGAAAAACCTGAAATTTTATAAAACTACAAAAAAAACCAAAAAACTTTTAAAACCCTAATTTCATTTTTTTTTCACTATGGTTGGCCGCCGCCACTGTCGTCAATCGGGCAACCATCTAACGATGTGTGATCGGCCAACCACCTACGACCAAAACTCCCTTGTTTTTGCAATCGACTGAGCATCCAACTGGTTCCGATTTAGATTCGTCGTGGTACTATTGTTCGATTTGGGTTCGTCAGTTGTGTTTATGGTGATTGTTCATAGGGATACTGGTCGACGGTGGAGGCGCGATCGGTTGGAGGTTCGACTGAAAAAACCTATTGGTAGCGGGAGGCGGCAAACGTGACTATAATGATTAGATTTAGGTGGCGTTTGGTTCGCTGGAATGTTTCTGAGGGAATTGGAATCTGTGAAGGAATTGGAATCTGTCAGGAATTGGAATCTAATTCCATATTCTGTTTGGTTGGCAGGAAATTGAATCGGAATCCAATTCCATATTTTGTTTGGTTCGCAGACATGTCAGATGAATTTGATTTCAGTAATGTAAAATGACAAGATTGCCCTTCTTGTTTTTTTGCTTAATTTTAGTTTTTTTATAAATTACATGTAGCAATATAATATAAAAATTTTAAAAACATTAAATTTTAATTTTATTGATTGATTATTCATTTTAATAAATTATAAAAAAATCATGCTAATAAACATCATAAGTTAAAATCATCCCAATTAGGGATGGCCATGGGTCGGGTTAGGTCGGGTTTTTGGTCCACCCGACCCAACCCGAGAACAAGGGAACCTCCATCCAAGACCCGACCCGACCAAAATAAAGTTTCACCCGACCCGAATATATGAATTAGAAACCCGACCCGAAATAATAAAAAAATTATTTTTATTCAATAAAAACAGTGACTTAATTGAAAATATATATATATAGAGGGAGGGGTATTATTGTAATTATTTCTAAATATATAAGGTAAAATTATATATTTTTTGGTTCGGGTCGGGTCGGGTATTGTTCACCCTAAACCCGTACCTGACCCGAATATCACACTTAAAAAGAACCGACCCGACCCGACCAAAATAAAGTTTCACCCGACCCGACCCGAATATATGAATTAGAAATCCGACCCAACCTGAAATAATAAAAAAAATATTTTTATTCAATAAAAACAGTGACTTAATTGAAAAAAATTATATATAGAGGGGTATTATTGTAATTATTCCTAAATATATAAGGTAAAATTATATATATATTCGGGTCGGGTATTTTTCACCCTAAACCCGAACTCGACCCGACCCGAATATCACACTTAAAAAGACCTACCCGACCCGACCAAAATAAAGTTTCACCCGACCCGAATATATGAATTAGAAACCCGACCCGAAATAATAAAAAAATATTTTTATTCAATATATGAATAAGTTACCAAAAGATTGATGAGGGTAGCATGGTCAAATTTCAATTCCCTCCAACAAGGGAATTAAATTCTATCATAGAATGGATGGAATTCACTTTCCCTCATTTGATGGAAAGTTGAAGCCATGAGGGATTCCAATTCCCTTGGAAAACTTGAACCAAACATGGGAAAGTGGTGGAATTGGATTTCAATTCCCCTAATTCCAAGGGATTCATGTCAACCAAACGTCACCTTAGAGTTTTCAACGTTTGGGGAGATTTTTAAGATTTTTGAAAATTTTGGACTTTTTAAATTATAATTTTAAGTTTTTTATTTTAAATAAATTTTTTAAAATTATTAGAACATGACATGTGTCACTTAATGGGAGTTTTTGAAAATGTTTGTCACATTAGGCATTTAGATTGACCTAAAAAAAGTTTGGACACTGCTTTTAAAAAAATGATATAGTTTGGTCACTTATTTTGGGTTTTTGATGGTTTGTTAAGCCTAATAACAATTGTTAAGTTGAGAAATATATTTTAATGGGTCAAAAGAGATGATGAACAATAGAGATGTTGAGCCAGGGAGAGAATCATTTGTCCAATTTTGCATTGTGATTTATATGCATACACTTAGTGTATAGTGATGATGTTTATTTGTAAATTGGAAGGTTAAATAGATATATGTTAGATAGTAAATTTAGATGATAAATCATATGAGCATGTCAATAATTATGTTAATCGAAGGGTATAAAATTCTAAACATCTCGAGAAATTCTAAAACCATTGATAGACGAAGAAATTACAACGGAGATGTAACTTGTGGAGAAGATACAACAATAATGAATGCAAGACGTGAAAAGCTTGTTAGGAGTGTGGTGCTTAAGCCTGAGTTGAGGGTATTAATATGTCCCCTGGAGTACAGGCATTTAGGGCATACACTTTCAAGAATATTATCTTTCATACTTCAAGTGAATGAAATATTATGACCAGTTGTACAAAATTGATTTATGACAACAACTGGCACCACCACCACTAGGGGGAACACTTGGAATTTTTTTGGGACCACCACAAAAATCAGTGGTGAAAACACTGTTATTCAGACCCATCTCAATAGATTTGGAAATGTTGTAATACATTTTAAGAATGAAATTTTTAAAATATTTTACAGTAAGATGAAATTGTAAAATATACAAATTTATCGTATTATGATTGTTTCTTATAAAATAAAAATTTAAACATATGAAATTAATAAAATGTCACAAAATTACTTTATAATAGTGACATTTTATTTAAAAAAGTGTCATTATTCGAATGTTCTTAGAAGCAA